CCGCAGCCGGGAAAGGAGCGGCTCCCCCCTCCCGGGGGTGCCCCGCAGCCCCCCGGGCTGGGCTCAGGCTCTGAGCTCTGCCGGGAGGGGAAGGATCCGACCAAGAGCCCCACCAAGCGGTGGCAGCTCCTGCTGCAGCCCCGGGGGCTTTGCCGAGGCTTTTTTTGGGGGGTGAAAACCCGGCATCTTTTAGCCCCCGGGGACGGTGGGCTCTGAGCCGGTGGGGAGATGCAGGGCAGGATGCTCCAACCTGCGCCCGGACCAGCTCCGAGCACGCAGCCCCCAACCATCCACCTCGACCTCTGGGGCCACAGAGGCTCCGATAGGCAAAGCTCTCCTCTCCCCACGCCCAGGGGGGACCAACGAGGACATTGAGCATCTCTGAGGGAGCGGAGGTGCTCCTTGTCTGCTTTGGCTTTCGAAGGCTTCCATGCAGATGGCCACATCCGAGCGAATCACCTACGCTCCTTCCTCGTCAGCGGCGAGAAATGGGCATGGTGCCTCTCCTCCTGAAGGATGTGACTAAAAAAACAGCCCAGGTGAGCCACGCTCCCTTGAAGGACCTGTTCCTGCGACCTGCTCGGACGTTAAAAGGCAACATCGGCATGTCTGAAGTTAGGCGAAACGAGCCTTGTTCTCCCTCTTCCCCGCAGCTGAATTTCTGCAATAAGCAGCTGGCAGGGAGGAGGAACCATCATCCGGCTGTTTTCCAGCCTGCCCCATTCCCCAGCTCCTGCCAGCCCCATGCCGAGGGGTGAGCTCACGTCTCTGGGTGCCCTGGGTCCACGCTGGGGGAACGCAGCAGCCCGAGGATGGGAGCGACGCTGCCTGGCAGCCCCTGGGCACGGCCAAGTGCGGATGGAGGGCGAGGAGTGTCCTTGGGCTGCTCTGACAGTTCCTCCCACTGTTTTTAAATCTACCAAGGCAACAGCCTTTTAAAAAAATTTTTTTTTTTTTTTCTCACAGCACTGGGATGCTGTTGCAGGATTACCTGCAGGGTAGGCAAGCCTTCGGGGCGTGCTTCTGGATGGATACCAGATACAAAGCCTGCTCTAATCCTCCTGGTTTATAAGGTTGAGCTTTCTCGCTTGTTTCCCACACTTCCACACACTGGTAACAAAAGCTGTCCAGCAACCTTAGTATTTACAGGCCTTTCTGTGCCATAACCTGTGTGTGCGTCCTACACCACAACATAGTCATCGAGGAGGAAGCTAGACAGCTTTTTTAGGAAGACGGGGGGGCGCTCGTGCAAGGTGGTGGGAACTCCCAAGAGGGAGCCAACAGCTGGCCTGCAGTTTCCTTCAACCTCCTGCCATCCAGCACAAGACCGTTGTCCCTCCGCTGCTAGACTGAAAAACCAGAGGCAACCGCGCCCTTCCCAGGCAGGGATCAGAGGTGACAGTGAATGCCCAGGAATGAGGTGCAGCCACGGGCAGCAGGCACTGCCCATCTGAGCTCTGCCCCAGCGGCAGGACAGCCTCATCTTCAGGGGAATTGGCCGCCAAAACCCAAACCAAGTGCCACTGATGCGAGCGAGCTCCACAGCTTGTGTCCCCCGTAACAGGCTGGGACACGCCGCGTCTCCTTCTGTAGGATGCTCTGCAGAGGGGTGTACCCAGACCCGGTGCCTCGACCCCGTCCCGTTTCAGTTCCCTGCTGCCAGCGGTTTGGCTCAAGCTGGTGAACATTTTTCCAGGACTCACTGGGGTTGTGGTTACTGGGATCTTTTCCCCTCCCTTCTCACTCCTTGTACTTCTCTACCTGCTTATAGTTTTTTCACTCCTTCCGTTGGCTTCTCCTCTGCAAATTTATCATAAAGTTGTTGAGTTTGGTGGCTGAAAAACAAGTGCTGAATCTTTGAGGGCACCAGAAGGTTGCTTTTGTTGTGGTCTCTGCCTTGCCCAGTACGCTGGCAGGGAGCAAGCTGGCTGCTGAGAGAGAGCCCTGTGGCCCGTGGATGCTGTCCATCCTTGCAGCACCAGGAGCTGTGCTGTTGGGATGCTCTGTCCCAGAAATAAAAGGCTGTGGCCTCACAGGCTGCTCAGGCTTTGCATGTCTGTGACAGGGACAAAGTCAGACCTGAGTGCAGCCACCAGAAAGGCAGAAACTCCACCTTTTTCTGGGACGTTTTCCTGGTGGGCCAGAACTTTGACAATGATTTGCTTCTTGCGGCATTCAAAACCTCACTGACACTCAGACAGGGCCGTGGGAGGTAGCAGCAGTGGTGGTGGCCACTGCAGGGCTGTCCTACACCCTCTGGGCGAGTCTTTACGGCACAGAGTTTGTGGTGGTGCGCTGAGCCCCAAGATCTGAGTTTCCCTTTGCTTTTGTCCTGCAGTCCCACCCGCTGTCCCTGTGCAACACCAGCGAGGATGAACACACCGAATCGGGATTCATCACCATTGTCAAGCTCGAACAGCCAGATCGGGATCCCAACCCCTGCCTGTCGCTGGCTAACAAGGTAGGTGCAGAAATGCCCCCAATGGCACCGAGCCGGGAAACCCATGGTGGAGGCAAGAGGGAAAGCAGGAGGAGGCAGCAGGGTAGGAAAGAGCTGTTGGGAGGTGGAGAAAAGGACAAAGGTCCTTGGCAGAAGGGGTCCTTTGGGACAGACAACGTGCCAGCCATCCCGAACACCCATCCCTCCTTATTTTTTTGCACTGCCTGGCTTTGTAAAAGGTGTGGAGTTTTCCCTAACCTGACTGCTCTGGGGCAGCTCAGACCTTTCCCCAGCATCCCGTACGCTTTACTGCCCGGCAGCCTCGTGCCCCTCCTGTTTTGCCTCCCCTTGTTTGCTGGCCTGTTGAGGGGGAGTGTTTGTGTTTCCCCATGTCCTCTGTCCTGTGGGAAAACATGGACACAGAAAACATCTTCTGTGGTCCTGTCTTTAAAAATAACACTGTAATACTTCACTGCACGGGAAGAACCCGACAAATGCAAACCAGACGAACTAGCAGTGGGATGTGCCTCTTTAGCAGCGTGGGCCACCATCCACCCTACAAAGGGGTGGGACATCTCGGAGGTCTTCAGATAGGTCTGCTGTGAAAGGGGTATGTTAGTGAAACAGCAGTTACTCTGTCAAGAGCTGAGGTCACCAGTACGATTCTCCAGTAATAAGGAAGTCAGGTAGGAACGAGGGCCATTTTAAGCCTTAAAATCTTTGTGTATCTGATAAAGTTGCGTGGATAAGGCTGACAGTAGCTTTTTTCTTCGGTGGTTTACTCCATTCCTTTATTGTCTCTGTATTAAATGTTGTGTTCTTTTCCACAAGGACTGTAGAAACATGAAAAAATCCTTCTTAGCTCTTGGCTTTACCTGGATTGCGTCCAGGTGATGCCGCTCCTGTTGTCTGCCTTCTGCTGGTAGTGACATGCTGGGGATGGGGACAGGGTCCTTTTCTGTCCTCCTTGCAGCTCAGCTGAAGAGGGCAGGCCAAACTTGTACCAAGCAGTCGTTCCTGCACAGCAGGTTTGGGGTTTTGTTTTTTTTTTTTTCGCAGAGGCTGCGGCAACGCAAACAAGGAAAGGGATGTGATGCTGTGGTGGATTCACCGCCTCGGGGCTGATAGCCTGCAGGTGCATGGGCAGCCAGGCAGCAATGCCTGTCCCTTTTTGGACCAGGGTGGAGGCCTAAGTTTGGTTTGGTGCTGCTCTGGAGCTGCTGCCAGCTGTTAGCACAAGCCAGTGTGCTGGAGTTATCAACCTGCTGTCGGTTGACGCCACGTCTGGAAAAGGGGCTGGTCCCACCTGTGGGTGTTAGTGATGGACAAGGACGGTGACACCCAAGGGCTTCCAGTGCAGCTTGTGACAGACGTGAGAGCAAGGGCTCTGCGGGTGCCTTAGGGAGCACAGCTCGGGGCTCCAGCTCTCCCGTGTCCATCCAGACGTGACCATCGCGTTAGAGTGGTCTGAGGCTGCAGCATCCCACAGGGGAGGATGCTGGGGGTGAGGGCAGCAATGACTGGTTTGGTCAGCACAGCTACTGTGGAGGGTCTTGACCAGGAGGAAGGAGCAGCTTCAAAGTCTCGTCTTCCACTTACGAACCTAAAAGGTTTAAAACCTGGTTTGCTCGTTTTGTCCTTAATCTTTGAGTCTCTGATCACGGCACTGGAAGTGTGTTGCTGAGTCCAGGGATCAGCTGAGGAAGGTCTGCACAGGCAGGGCGAGACACGGTGCATTGCTGCACTGCGGTCATCCTCACTAACCTTGATCCCTTCTCGAGGACCACTAATCCCCCCCAAAGCAAATAAACCGCTCGGTTCGTTGCCAGGCTCGTGACTTGACAGAGCGACAGTTCGCTGGCCTTTAGTCAGCGTTGCTTTGTTACCAGAGCCGAATCCAGCGCTGGGTTTTGAGATCCAACGGAACGTGACATTGGTTGCCATCCTGCCTGCAGGTAGTCCTGCTCCAGGGTCTCACCCAGGGAGGCTCACAGCTCTTCTCCCCCCAAACAGGACTGTGAAATACAGGCAGATGCTCCTTAAGGTGGCCGCATCCCCAGGCCCTGCCTTGTACCTAGGTTCCTCCATCACCCTGCAATTGCTGTCTGGCTGCTTCTCCATCCTCCTGAAGCCTCTGCCAAGCTCTTTCCTTGCAAA